TGTATCATAAAAAAAAAAAATCTTTAAATTATAGTTTCTCTTTTCTGGTCCAATTTAAATTGTTACATAGTTGCTAAATTAGTGCTGTAATCCCTGCTTACAAATTGCAGAATTATTTTTAAAAATAGATGTAGTTTTACTGGAGGGAACAACCTTACACTTTAAACCCTATGTGCTGCAGGATGCTGCTCTTGCACAGCTTTCAACCAGCCACACTCACGTGCACACAGGGTGAGGTTTACAATACAGTCACACTGAAGCCAGTAGCAGTCTCACCAGAAATTTCAATGAGCCCAAATTGAGTTAACACTGACATTTTAGAATGATTAACAAATTTAAGCTTTCCCAAGATGCTCCATGGCACCAGTGGCTCTCGTTGTACCATTTCTTAAAAGATCAGCATTTCTCTTGTGTTCTGTTCTGAACTACTCCTACTGAACTAAAGCCACTGGTAGGCCAGAAAGTTAGAAGACTGTAGGAGAAAAAAAAACAACACTTCCAAGATATACTTTTTCTGCTCACAAACCAAGTAATTGGGGGATGGAAAGGGGGAAAAACAAGAGAAAAAAGGTGGAGCACTATGATCCCAAGTTCAAAGCTGGGCTGGGGAACAGCAATAATCAGGGCAAGACTTCCATGCATAATTCTTCTTCCTTCAAGCACTTCCACAGCTTTAGTACTATGGAAAGGTGAACTTCACGTGCAAAAAATCCTTGTAAGTGACCTTTGGGGATAGGTATAAGATATTGTCCTCAATATCTCGCAGTGCTCAGCAGAAATAGGAAACCTCGATCCCTGGGTCTCCACAGGGCTCTGCAGATCATACCCACCATTTCCCACATCCTAGCTTGATAGAAATGAGAATTTCTTTCATCTCCCTCAATTATACATAATTTCTAGCCCACCACTTCTCTGAAGTCTTTCATCTGACCCTGGTTATTTCTGCTTTCTTGTACCCTTCCCAGTCCCACCATGGTCCCCTCCCTCAGGTTGGTCACACTAACTTGGACACAACAGAAGAAACCCTGGGAGGCCAGGAGCATCAGCAAGATCTCACTGCTTTCTGCACTAACTGCAGGAGCTCAGCCCCTCCCAGCCCTCACCTCAGAGTGCACATCTCCAGCTGCCAACTGCCAGATTGCCAGGACAGGGGAGAAAGAATGGATGAAAATTTCCACGTCCTGGAGAAAGTTATCTGGACATCAAAGAACACCCATTCACAAAACAGCAGCATCACTCTTGCCAGACTGGTGTGTCTGGTTAACCTTGTGTTCAGTCCTTATGATAACACGGTATTTGGACAGCAGACAGCTGGCACTGCTCAACATCTTGCTCCTCAGTCTTTTATAACAACAGTTCCACTGATATTACGCTTTGCCTTTTCCCTGCTCTGAGTCCAGCACTAAAATCTCTTCAACTACTTAGAGGAAGCAAACCAAATGTTCTTTTGTCAGTAATTTGCCCTGTAAGGGAGGGGGAAAATATACTGATAACATACTGCAGACACGGCATTTGTCACGTGCAGAGCAGTGCACTGGTTACACTGGAAACCCTATCATGGTATTTCAAATGTTAACTTGACTGTCCTAATGACTGGGAAACATCTGTCTCCTATTAACACTTTAGTTTTTACAGTTGCTTTTAGTTCAGCAGAAGTGTCTTAATGGAGAAGACTGGTACTCTTTTAGAAATAACATCAATAATGAAAGAATCCTTGGATGCAGAGCAAAACCAGCAAACACATTGGCAACAGAACTCACTGCACTCAGAAGATGTAACAGGAAATAATAGTGATGGGCTTTTGGGTGGGAAGATTTTTGTGTGAAAGAAATTAACTCTGGTACTTAAATTCGCATTAAGAAAAATATTTCTTTTCAAACAGGTGATTGATTTCCTTAGATATTAATTCAGACTTTTGGGGAATTTCATCTTAATTGGATCACCGATAAATAAAACCAGAAACAAAACCAACAAAGAAAACCCCTTCTGCAGGCTATTTAGGCTTGGTACTGACTAACCAGTAATTAAATACAGCTCTTCACAGTAATCTTAATTATGGCTTCACTACACCACAGCTAAGAAGAACAACACAACAAACTGAGAAGATTAGCCAATTCTAATTGTTGAAAAACATTTATTTTTGTTTTTGTGCACAGTTTTTGTGTGCATAAGGCCACATGTCACATCAGTGAATTATAAAAAAATAATCAACGGCTTCAAGAATTTATATATCACAACTAGGCAAGTGTTACTAGGCAAGCAATAGTTTATTTTTTTTATATAAATCAAGCCTCTATGGCTTGCATAAGAGGCCAAGTGTTTTAGACTTGGGAAAATAGGGATGTGTGCTAGAAATCAGTGTGAATTAGGTAGACCAGAAACAAGTTTCACTGAATTACTCACACTTATACCAGTTGAGAAGCCTGTTTTCTCAGCTGGCCACTCCATGAATTAGCTGTCCAGTCACATCTGCTGCACCTTCCATGGGAATTCACGTCCAGAGGAAACTGAGTCAAGGTACCTCAGTACTGTCTTTCTATAAATCTAGGATTCCTAGTATCCAAGCTATTGTCTGACAATAGGGACTTTGGGAAACAAAAAATACCCCACCCACCTTCAAAAACCAAACACCAAAAAATCCCCCCAAACCAGCCAATCAACCAAAAAGAAACAGAAAGAAAACCCAAACCAAAGGAAAAACAATCAGAGGCCACAATTCAGCAGAATGTGGCTAGACAGGCTAGATTTTAAGCAGGTCTCAGAGCTCAGGATAACTACGTCACACATCTAAAGGCATCTAAAGACAAAAGCAGTCAGACTGTGCATCATCAATTTAAGGGTCTCATTCCTCTGCAAGAACAACTTGCAAGCCTAGCTCAAAGCCTTAGTGTACTTAAGCATTCATTATCCTACTGAAGCCAATGCAGGCTTCAATCCACTGAAAAATCAATGAGACATATGCTCTAGGACACAAACTCCTCAGGCTTACAGCCAGTGGCATGGCAGAAGCCTAGATCCTTTGTAGATCTGGCTTTCAACACAGCAGAGTCCTGAGCATTCTAAAAGACACTGAGACAGGCTCCCAACACTTGTTTCTTCCACATTTAAGAGTTTAATATGTGCTTGGGTTTGTTTTTTTCTTTACTGCATCAGACTGCCAGATTCCTGCTTCCCATTTTCCACTCACAGTACCAGCTGTCCAACTACTTATATGTAGCCCCATCAGCATTGCCATCCTTTCCCCTGCATGTGCAGCAGCAGATGGATCTAGACGTGTTTTGGGTTAACTCCATAACCATGTTTTTGTGGACTGCATGGATAAACATTTAAAGGCCCCTTCTGGTTATATAAAAGGAAGCTATTAAACGTTTACTCTTTCCTCAGTACTCAGTGCTGCAAAGCCGTATCACAGAACATACAAATGCAGATGCAACCAGGCAATTATCGTTCCTTTATCCCTTAAATAGATAGAAGATAAATTTGAAAGAAAATGAGGAACAGAATCCTTCTCCCTTTCCTTTTTTATCCTTTTATCTCCCAATGTAGGAAGTTTACTGAACCCTTGCCAACAATTCACTCAGGCTAATGAAGTGTATAAGTAATGGGATTAAATAATCTTAAACCATTACTACAGTGGCTAATGCAGATGTTTTCCCAAACTAAAGCAGATGAGTGGTGTAGAATGCGTGCTTGATTTAAAAAAGAAGAAAAGAAAGTATCAATCTGCAAGCAGATGAAGTCAATTCCAGCCTGAAGTCAATGAAATGTTTAATTCCAGTTACATAAAGTTGCTCCAATTATATTATGAATGCACCTTCCTAAAGTCTTCAGTGCTTTGCACGTGGTTAAACTTGCCACAAAATGAAACTTAAATTTTTTATGGTGCAATCATTTTTGTGCAAACAAAAATAGAAATTATTTAAAAGGTACATATTCGACCAAGAGACCATTTAGCTTTTAAACGCAAATTAACAAGGCCCATCTATCACTGCCGTTGTAAATAAGACACAATCCTCCCTTTTTATATTCAATATTTCATTAACAATCTCACTGTGAAGGCTCTGTAGAAATAGAGAGAACAATGAGATACTGGTGGCATTTTCAGAAATATTATAGTATTATTGCTGTAATTATCACTGGAATGACAGAAATGTCATGAAAAACATCAATTTTTACTTTCAGAAGTGTGAATCCAGTTCTGGAAGGGTCTCAGGTCCAGTGTTTGTAAGAACTCAAAACTGAGAGTTTAGAGAAAGATGTCAGTGTTTTAAGGAAGTTCTAGTTCTTTTCTTACTCTAAATTACAAGGATAATCCTTATAGACTGGATGTTAAGGTCAGACCAAGGTAAAGCCTGAGACACATAATGGGGTGTTTTTTTAATTTGGACATGTACAACTGGTTCCAGCTACTTGTTACAGGAGCCTCTTAAAATTAGCATCTCCTCAGAGCAATTATTAATTTTTTGCTTTAAGACCTTGCTAGAAGCATGAAATGAAACTTTAGGGTGATGTAAGCTTCAAAAGATACCTAATCCAAAGACCCTTAGTTCAGTAGAAAGTCTTCCATCAAGCAAGGCAAAAGTCTTGATTTTAGAAGTTTTAATGCTTTCTTGCATCCCACCTCCTTAATCTTAGTGGGCACCACAGTCTGTAACAATTTTGGTATCAGGTTTCCCAACATGGAAAGCTGAGAACCATACTACTGCTAAAAAATGACAGCATAGTCTGCTCCTTGCAGAGATGAAACAATCACAAACCCCAGCTCTTTCTCCTGCTGTGTCCACTTCATTTCAGAGGCAGGTCAGACACGGAAATGCAATTCACCCAGTAAGCTGAAAAGACCAGAGTTCTTCTGAAGACTGTAAAAAAACTTGTTGCTCATGGTACTGGTACAGGGTTGCCAGATTTTAACTGTAAAGCAACTCCAGAGCAATGAAAGAAATAGATGTTTCCCATGTCTATACATTAAAATCAGGACACAAAGAGGAACGAGTACTCACAATGTAGCAAGGTTCACAGTAGGCTTTCTTCTCCACAGCGTAGAAAGGCTGTCCCCTCAGCTTGCTCTTGCATGTTATACAGGTGAAACACTCCACATGGAAGACTTGGTCCATGGCTGTACAACCAGTGCCTTCTCCAACGACATTCTCCCCGCAGCGGGCACAGCGTCCTGTCACCAGAGGGAAAGGACAGCAGTCAAAGCAAGCCCCTCGACCCAGCTGCGGAGGAGGCCCCACCACTCACCCGTGGCTGCAGAGCGAGTGAGGGGGATGAAGCAGCTCAGTCCACAGAAAAACAATTTGTGCCACTGCTGGCAAAGATCTAGTACCACTGGAAGGCCCTCTGGTGCTGGTCCATATGAAAAGGTCTAGAAAGGATTGAAACTGGCTCCCAAGACAGCACTTATGTCAGTTGTGCTGCTGCATGCCAGCAATCATCACAAGGACCCTGAGCTCCAGATACAAACCACTGAGCTATCATCTAACCCACCTATATAGTCATCTTCACTTCCTCAGGTAGATGGGATAAACCTGTGCCTTAAGCCTTACTTCCACATGAAAGGATTTTGTTGTAGAAGCCTCATAAAGCTGCCTGGTGGCAGCACAATTTAAATAGAAGATTTTGCTTGTACAGCTCAAACCAATTCTCTCAATGGAGCCAATTACTTTTCTTTTTCTGTTCAAAGATTAATACAGATTAAGATATTCTGCCTATTTAAAGCACAGAAACTATTCCTAAAGACACTGATGTGTGGATACTTTAGTCTTGCTGTCCTTCAAGAAAGGTGTATGAGAAACTGCTGTTAGAGACTCTGAGTACAGACAAACCTTAAGAGCTCTGTCTGTTTCTGAAAAGGGTCCTTAATGTCAGATACAAATGCATAGCAAAAAGTCTGCAGACACACACTTACAAAAGGCTTGCTGCCTTGTTCAGATTGTTGCTAAAGATGTTACGTGGCAGATAGGTACAAAGTGAAGACAAGATTTCCTTAGCTCATGGGAAGAACAGTTCCCTAGGGGAGACTGTGTTGCAGAGATGATGGAAGAGGTGGGTAGAAGGCACACCTTTGCCAGTTTTCTCTGCCATTTGAGTTCTAGAAAATGGAGATAGCCCATGAAGTTGTGATGTCCTTACACAACAATTTATATTGAAAATGGAAGGCATTAAGAACAAGGTCAGCTATACTACACAGGAGAACCCCGCCAAAGAAAATAGAGAAAGTATGATCTGGGGCATTGCCCTACTCAAAATGGTACTCTCCAGTTTAAGAGTAACTGTGGTGACCCCAGCCTGGGCGCTCTGCACTTCTTGAAGGCTTCATGGGTGGAGTGGTGTGATCATCAAGGGTGGGAAGGGAAGCAAGAGCTGGAAAAGAGCAGGAAAGCAGACTGAGTTCAATACAGAATTATTCATAAAGGCATATGTAAGTAACACATACCTGATAATAATTATATATTCCAGTAATGATACAATGCTCTCTCATACCATGGTCTGTTTGTTGGCCTTTTCATGCAAATACTGCACAACTTCCTACAAGGACTTAGACCTGTTTTGTCATCCCAAAAGTAGGACTGTGCACTGTCAGTGTCACGACTTCTTTCCTGCCTGTCCCACACTCCAACAAGCTACTACACTCAGGGAACAAACCATGTAAGCTACTTTTGTATCCCTCAGGATACCACAGGATGATATATACACACATTTGAGATATATTACAAGCTTGGAAAAGAACCCAGATCATTATGGTTTGCTACAATGGCATAACTATAGTTGGCTTTATTATTTTTAAACAGGACAGAGAGTTTCTGATTCAAACAGCTCCCAGCTTGAGTAGTGTGGAGAGAGAACTCACCAGATGAATCCAGACAAGTCTGGAAATCCCCCAAATGGAATTAATAATGTATTTAAACTTAACTTTCTTTAGCATTTGTTATTAGGGTTTTGATTGTCACTGCTGTGCTTTAATCACTCCACTGTAACACTTCTAGAGAGGACTGCTTTTTTATGAGCAAAAAAGGAATTCAGGTTTCCCAGCATGGTGGTGAGGCTACAGAGCATGGGGGAAGAATGGAAAAAACCATGAGGGCTAGGAAGAAAAAACCCAAACACACTGGAGTGAACTACAGGAGCTGAGCACTGCACTGAGGAGGAGGCAGAAGACACCTCCTGTGTACCACAGGACGGCTCTGCTCAGCCCTGCATGTGGACAGCACAGAGCTGCTCCAGGGCCTTCTCCAAACATCTCGTGTAGCTGGGCTGTAATATGAAGAGACGTCTGGGGAGCAGTTAATATCTCTATATATAAAACATGAAATTGAAAGCCATTAGTGTATTACTTTACACAGTGTTTTTCCAGAGGGAATATTCTGCTGAAGAATTTATTTTCCCTAGTGTGCCATTCTGTGATCATCCGGTATTATTTTTATGAGGCATTTGGACATGGAATAATGTAGTGTCTATGCAAACACTTCTCAGCTTTCTTTGTTAACATCTGAGCAGAACATGTGGGAATCTTTTCTACCCCTCCTTCTCTTCTCACATTCATAATTTAGCCAGGTCTTATGTGCTTCAGCATTTATCTTCCTCTTTGACCAAGACATCTCTCCATTTGCTGAAGTAGCTGTCTACATGGAGACCATACTTCTGGCTGTACTTGTGCTAGGAGACCTGGGTCTATTTCCTAACTCAAATACATACTCCTGTAATCTCTGACAAGTCAGTCAGTGCCTTTGTACCCCTGTCCCCTCTTTAAGCAAAGGGCATAAAGACATCTCTGCCTCCCAAAGGTGTCCCGAGGCTACATTTCCCCCATAGCTCTGAGGTATTCCCTAACTACACCGCTGGTGGTCAGATACAAACCAAAGAGTAGCACAACATGAGTCTTGGCCAACTTCTCCCCTTTAAATTGGTTTCCTAAGGCCTTCCTTCCTCTTTCTGGGTTTTTCCACAGAAGATTCCCACTGAGGCAGTGACAGACTTAACCTGGCTACATTTATGAGAAGTCCAGTTTCTGCTATTAAGTACACAGACAGAAATACTCCTATAAACTCTCAAACAGGAAAGCTTCCTTTTTTATAAGTTTATATGCAAACTGTAACTCTGTGGCCTTAAGCAAACCATGTTTTTCATGAGACATGGCAACTCCAGTGAGAATCAAAACACAAGCTCAGTGCCTGGCAACTCTCCCAATTGACTCACTCACCCAAAAGGTAAAAGCAAATAAGCCAAAATATTCAAATTTGGGAGCTCCAGTTGGGTGGCTGGGTCCACTAAAAGGAACATGGGCAATTACACAACTAATCTGGTTTGCAGCAATGTGATCACTGGAGACTGCACCTTCTGCAGATCTCTGTGCAATCTGGGAACTCGCAAGACTTCTGCAAAAAAACCTGTCTCTTCTCCCATCGCCTGCAACTCGCTCAAATGTAGTTGAAAATGGCTATTAGTTTCAAGTGTTGGTGAGGCTTGTCAACTGACAAGCAGACAGGCACATGTACACAGGCAGTGCAATTGCACAAGCCCCATTTCCTTAGAAAACCAGAAAAACCCCACTAAAAACAATGCATCTATCGTTATGTCTGATAGAAACAAAACAAAGGTCTGCTTTTCCTGTGTGCCAGTTACCAATGGCGAAGGTATTTGTGGTTGGGCTCACCACAATTAAGTGCCCACACATGTTCCCCATTTTAATATTTTCACACTGGCTCAAATAACCCAGTCCGTTGTGTGCAGAATACCCATGAGTGAACACAGAACAAGTTGCACTGCTTATTGGGAAAGAAGTAGCAAAGTTTGCAAGACTCAAGAACAAACAGATTGCACAAAAAAGATTACACAAATAATCTAAGAGAAAAATAGCAGGCAGCGTATTACAGTAGAAACACAGAACAACGTGACCCATTTGCTTCCCACAAACAGCATTTAAAAGGCAGCTTAAAGACAAAGGACAAAATTAGCACTAAACTGCATGAAGATGAGAAACTATGTCATTTCAACATTCTTCTTTTGCCCCTTCAGCCCTTTTTAGATCCTTTTTCAAGATTATTTCAGCAAAACTAGAAGGCGATATGTTGGCAGCAAGCCTGGGAGACTGGAGTCCTCTATTTTTGCATGAAAGAGGTTCATAACCTTGGCCGTGCTGTGACCTTCCTTCAGCCCAGCCTGGCTGCCACATGGTGGTCTTACCTTGGGGGGATGTACAGAAGTGCCCACAGAGGCTTCCGTGCTGAAAGTGCCATCATTAGTGAGTTTCACACAGAAACACTTCAGCAGCTGAAAGGATACATCAGCTACGATACTTTATTCTGAAACCTCCTCACTTACTGTCTTCTATTGTGTAAAAAATTTGAAATATTGTGAATCTGAAGGAAGAGGGGGAAGGGAGAAGAGGAGCTCGTATTGCACATAATGCCATGTTCTAACTTCTTGTTATCTAATTACTATTATTACATGGTTTTCACCTATACCGCCCCAGATCCTGGCTGCTCAGATTATAGAACAGATCCATTCTGCGGGGTATTGGAAAAACACAGAATTCACAGAAGGACCCAACTGCAGGAGTTTATAACCTAATACAAGCAATGACAACTGAGTAGTGATAGGAAATAGAAGGAAACAATCAGACAAAACCAGTCAGCAAGGGAAGCTGTGCTCTCAGCACTCTAAATGTTTTACTGTTGACAAGGAGTCTGTAGACAGCACAGCAAAGGAAAAGGTTAAGAAGAATTTGAAAGAGGACCCGGAGGGAGTTTAAAGGAAGTTTAATGGAATGCTTCTGAAGAAAGGACAAAGACAACACAAAAGAGAATGTAAGTGCTTGAAGATTGAACATAGACGCCTTCAGATGAGAAGGATGAGCTGGTATGTCACTAGAGAATACTAGAGGAAGAAGGGTGGGAATAGGTCATTACAGGTCATGCAGGTAAAGGCATGAAGCTTCTGTTTGATATGAGGCAGAAATTAAACCAGAGGAGAAATGTTTAAGAGTTGGATTCAATGATCCTTGTGGGCCTCTTCCAACTCAGGATGTTCTATGACTCTATGACTAAGAGGCAGAAATGATCTGGCCTAAGTTAAAAGCCAGAGAGTTATTTCTGCAGCTAGTTGAGCATGAATAGAGAGAAACTGCATTTTTTGAAAAGGATGTTGCAGAGATTCAAAGTCACTGGA